TTTTTTTCTTTTTCTTTTCTTTTATTATTGTGTCAATGAATTAATTAACTGAGGAAAATAAGCTTTAAGTGGATGTGCCCAAACAAGCTTTGGGTGAATGTAAGATGACAAGCGACTCTATGCAAATCACAACAGAACTGAATGTGAATTTGTTGTACTGTACCTTGGCTTAACTGTGACAGCTCTGTATGCAATACAATAGCAGGGGATGTCGTGGATCAGGGAGTTTTAATGATGGCCCTCATATGGATAAGAAGCAGAAAGCTCTACAATCCACACGTTGTTGCTCTACATGTAAGTCGTATTAGACTTAGAGCTTATTTTGAAAGAAGTGCATGTTATGTTATATGACAAAAGCCCAAAGAGTACACTTTAATGTAATGCATCTTTTTTAAAATTGCGTTTTTCTATTTCTTTTCCTTATAAGGATGTAGGGTGAATGGGGAACATCCAAAGGGGAGCACGGAGCTGACTGGAGCCCCTGTACTCGATCGGACCTCAGAAAACCTAAAGACTCAGAAAGTCATACTCAACCGCTGCTCTCAGTAGAAAAATACAGCTGTGATACTCTTGCTCGCCCTGAAATGATGTCCCCATTTCAACCTCTAATTCATGCATACCAACTCTTGATCTCTTTACTATAGAAAAATAAAGTTTTGGATATAAATCTGTGTCGTGCTGTTGGAAGTGATGCATCACTAAAGTAGATCTTTGACCTCACTGCCTCCTATTGGGCAGAGGGAAGAAGAACAATGAAAACTCACCATTTCTTACCCTAAAAAAAAAAAATCAAAGATTTGAAGATGCAGCAGTGGCGTATAAACACATGAACGGGGATGTGGATAAGAAATTCTCAGTGCATTGTGGGAAGTCCGCCAACAGCCCAAACCTATAGCAGCATAACCGAGGGATGGTTCAGGATCATCTGATGAAGTAGTAACTATACGTTTCATCAAAGAGGACAGCTTTAAACCTAATCTTAAAAGGAGGGTGAGTCTGCCTGTTTCACAGGAGGGCTCTGCCTCTCATTCTACTATTAGAAACTCTAGGAACCACAGGTAAGCCAGCAGCCTGTGACCAAAGTGCTCCACTGGGATAATATGACAGCAAAAGACATGATTGGGCCTCATTATTCAAGACTTAGACAGATTTTAAATTCAGTTCTGGATTTAACAGCGAGCCAATGAAGAGAAGCCAAAATGGGAGAAATATGCTCCCATTTTCTAGTCCCTGTCAGTACTCTCAATGCAGTGATCTGGATCAAGTGACGGTTTATCAGGGGTCTTTTAGAAAAACCTAGTGTTACAGGAAGCCAAGGTAAAGCTATTCAGAGTAAGCATTTAGTTAAACATTGTGTTTCGGACATTTACAGTGCCACCTATAATAACTTTAATTTTCGAATAATTCAAAGTAAAGTGGAAGCAACAATATGTTTATATCCTTAAGTTATCTTTTAATTTCTGCTTTAAGGGAACCTTTTTACATTCTGTGATTCTGTGAGCCTGTGGAACACCATTAAATCTACATAATGGTTGCATAAAACTGGATTAAGTTTTAAAAATTCTGTCACATTGAATTATGGGAAGTGTAGTATCTGGAGGTTTGTGGTTTAAAGGGTACAAACATTTTTTAATTTTCTCTCCAGACATTTTAAAGTTACAAAGTCAGATGGCAGAAATTTTAAATAATAAGATGAACATACATGACCTGATCCCTCAGAGTGCTCAGGCTTCAGATGGTTCTATTTTTTGGTAACAGCAGAATAACATTTTAATAGCTTTGTTGTATTCTCTATATTCTATATTACTAATCCACACCTATTTATTGTGTTTCTTGAAGGTGAGAATCACAGACACCCCACAATACAATATTAACACAGATCTGCACTTACAATACAATATTATTGGAGTTTTAACATTTTTCCAGTATGCAACAAAATTATATTTTATTTCAATGACATACATTGAGATTTATTGATTTTTTTCAACTGCAATTTATGCCCTTAAAGGACCTTGTTAGTATCTGTTTTATTGAATAAAATAAAGTTCAGTTATTTATTTCCTTCAACTAATAATAATAATAATTATTATTTTTATTATTGTTGTTGTTGTTGTTGTTGTTTAAACCATTTTTTT